AATGCTTGGTTACCCACATTCTTGAAAATATCTTCTTTTGTGTTCAGCAGGAGAAAGACGTTCATACAGGTTTGGAAGAATTTGGGGGTGAGCAATGGATGACAATTTTCTGAATCCTTACAAATCACTATCTACTTTACCTGCAGGAAAGACAGAAGCTCAGACATTCTACCTAACACAAACGAGAAATTTAGCAATGACTACATTCTCATTTTGGGTCAAACTATTCCTTTAACAACCAAAGACCATTACTGTCCATTTCCAATTCTTCCTTTCCAAAAAAATGAAGAAAACTGCACAAAATGTTTGCAAAGCTCTAGTATAGCACAGTATACAATTCCTCAACGATCTAATTATATCCAGTATGTTGTACTTGACTGTAGTTTATGGATACCAGCGCTCCTGCTATTAATCTTCCTCTCAAGGACACCAGCGTTTCAGCAGTGGACCTTGCTGACATGTTTTGCACAGCATGGGAAACACTTAAACAAAAAATGATCTGTCATACATAAACGCAAAAACATCTTGCTTAATCAGCAGTGGAAGCTGTCATCAAGCATGCACTGCGCAACCAGCATCGCAAATCTGCTTAATGAATAAAATCTCATTTTCGCTTTTAGGGTCTCACTGATTCAGCATAAACCATACCGTTCCTCAAACTTCCTGCTGAGCCAAACAAGACGGGGGGCTTCAGCTCTGCATAGCTGACGTAGGTAATTCACAAACAGAAGGAAATGACTCCACAACTGAAACGGTCGATCTATGAGTCAAACGTTCTCACACACTGAGTCGCAATAGTTTACTGTACAGCTAGCCGTCTCCACAGCATCCTGGTGGACCAAGCAGTGTGGGATGGGCTGTGGGGTGCCTGTAATCAAGATTAAGAGATTTTATAAATTGTTCTGACAAGCGGGAGGGCTGGAGGGAAGCACAGATAGCAGAGAGCGGTTTCTCTTCCCCCACCCAACCACCACAAAGTCCCATCAGTTCAGGAGAGTACCTTTGTTTGCGGTGGCAGGCGCAAAACAGGATGTGAGACAGGAAAGCTCCTGCGTAATGAGAGTTGACTGACGTGGCAGAGCGGCTATTAGGGTTTGGTGTTGAGGACACGGCCCACATTGAATCACAAATCAGTTGTGGAACAGGGTTGATGCACTTAAACTGAACCAAATGTGGGTTAATTAGTTCCAAACATTACAAGCTCATTTCTATCATGTTCATTAGGAGGAGAACAAGGAAGACAGAGAAGAAAAACAGCCCTGATCAACGTTAAATTACATTGCTACTGTAAATATAAACCACGCCCTAACACAAACTGTAAGATAAAGTTAAAATATAATCATAATAGAGAAGTAGAAATAACGGTTGGTTCCACATGCCTTCATATGTCATATTTTGTAAAAATGCAATTTAAAACACAAGTTTGTATTCATGTTGACATAATTTGAAAAATGCTCATATTATTTTAAATAATACTTTGTATTTAATGATTCTATAAGTGTTAAGTGTGATGGTTACTTGATGTAACCAAGTAAAAAAAAAAATAATAATACACGAGAGTACAAATTATTTTCAATAAACTTTGCAAACATTTTTCAAGGAAAAAGAAATTGACACATGGATATCAACAATTTTCCTAAGATTTTCTTCAATGGATGTAAACAAAAGGTCAAACATCTGAATTTTTGTTTCTAAAGTTAAAAACTAATTGACACAGTCATGGAGGGCCTAGAAGGTATTTTGTGTTTTATGATTTTCTACAAAATGGCTTCCTGCAGGTTGGTTACACTACATTTTTAATCAGATGGACAAAACTTTCAAATATTAATAGTACAATAATAATAATATTTTATAACAAAATCACTTCACTACTTATTGTTTTTGAAAAAAAACATTATGCTGAATATTTTTTCTTGACTAATACTTTTTTAAAAATATATATTTTTGTAAACGATTTTCAGAAAGTCACACATCACCTAAACTTTTATTTTTTTCAACTTTAAGCTCTTCAAAAATATCAAAATTACTTTTAATTAAGAAATTGACTACTCGTTCATCATAGAACAGGTGCATGGTGTGCACGAATTGAATGCATTTTCACGTATTTTTTTAATAACATAATAGATCTGGACAAAATTAATGAGCATCTCATTACATCATTGACCTAAATAAGACTTTAAAATAATTCAAGAACATCTCTTACATGATATCAAAGCATACAAAATAAATTTTCTATCACCAACATTAGTGAATCCGTTTTGACATTAGATAGTTGCAAGGTGAGCATAAGATGTTCACGCACGTGAAGCACAAAGCTGGATGTGTATAAGCACCAAAAACAAGACACGAGAACTGATGAATGAAACGGATTGATCTGAGTGTCTCTCTCTCTTCTGCTGTCAACTTTGAGCTACTGCTGCAAGAGGGACAGAAGAGCATTCCCTTTTCCTTTCGCTTTCGTCTTACGTCAGACAGAAAACATCTGTCCGATATGCGCAATTAACATTATTGATTATATCGATCCATTAGATTCCTTATAAAGACTCACCAATGACAGGAATAAGAACATTTCGATCAGTCTCCTACGACTCCCGTATCGGTTCCAAGAAGCCATGATGCCGCTGCCACGTCTGGCTACGCAAGCGCAATCCATTTTCCTCCAAATCCCTGGAGAACGCAGTGCTTCTTAGGAAATGTAGTTTATTCGGAATTGTAGTTTGTTGAGGGAGCCGTAAGGCTACTTGTGTTTTGTTCAAATGTGTATGACTTTAGCTCATGTAAATTATTATCAGCCATGCAGATACGGCGAAATAACATGCTATCAAATGGTTCTTGAACGCAGGCTTCAAAACTGAAAGCAATTAGCCTATTTTGGATTAATGAGGTGAGGTGTTCAATGAATGAATGAATTGAGTTAGAGGATGGTTTCAAAATTCTTTTTCAGCTCAGTCTATTGAATTGAATGAACCTCAGTCAAACTGAAAGTTATTGTATTTTGATGTGTTTATTGTATAAAATATAAAGCATTTCTGGCTTTGCAAGCAAACGGCCTGACCATAAAACAAGAAGAAGAAGAAAAGATCTGACTATTTAGCTGCCATATACTTGTGAAAGAAAATAAAAGCACAATTATTTAAAATATATAGAAATTTCATAAAATTATAAAAGTATT